ATGGCCTGCGCCTGGCCCCTGTACTCCACATCCAGCTTTTCCAGCTCGTGCACGCGCAGCTCGGCGTCCCAGCACTGGTCCTGGGCCTCCTGCAGCTCCAGCCGGTGCTGGCGGCTTGCACCTCCAGCTGGGCCCGCCAGTGCCGCTGCAGCCCGGCCAGCTCCTCCTGGGCCTCCTGCAGCTTCTCCCGCAGGGCCTCCTCCTCCACGTGCATGGCGGTCTCCAGGGCATGCTTGGCCTGCAGGTTACCCAGCTCCAGCTGGTGCTCCATCTTGATGCCCTCCATCACTGCCTTCAGCTCGCCAATCTCCTTCTGCTGGGTGCCTGGGTGCATTAGCAGACAAAAGTGCAATTACTTTCAAGTGCATGCAGCTCACTGATTTCATCCTCAAGTTTCCACACAGTGCCCGCCAGAAGTATGTCCGGCAAGCCTGGCAGAAGGCAGACATCAATACGAAATGGGCAACCACTGGATGGACCAAGAAGATTGAAGCCAGAGAAAGGAAAGCCAAGATGACAGATTTTGATCATTTTAAAGTTATGAAAGCAAAGAAAATGAGGAACAGAATAATCAAGAATGAAGTTAAGAAGCTTCAAAAGGCAGCTCTCCTGAAAGCTTCTCCCAAAAAAAGCACCTGCTGCTAAGGGTGCTGCTGCAGCTGCTGCTAAAGTCCCAGCAAAAAAGATGACCGCTGCAGGCAAGAAGGCTCCAGCCCAGAAGGCTCCTGCCCCGAAATCCACAGGCCAGAAGGCAGCGCCTGCTCCAAAAGCTCAAAAGGGTCAAAAAGCTCCAGCCCAGAAAGCACCTGCTCCAAAGGCATCTGGCAAGAAAGCATAAGAGGCAGTTATACAAAGTAATAAAGGTTCTTTTCGACAAAAAAAAAAAAAATGCTTTAAGCATTTAATAGAATCTGACAGTTTATGTTTGGATATAATGAAACATTAAGATTTATTTACCTCAGAAGTGAATATTTAAAAGACAGGGCATATCTAATTTTATAAATTGTTAAGTTTTAATTTATTAGTGGAAATGTTAAAATAAGTAGAGGAATGCTGACTGTTTAAAGAACATCAAGCTGGGCACGGTGGCTCACACCTTTAAGCCCAGCACCTGGGAAGCCAAAGCGGGTGGATCACGAGGTCAGGAGTTCGAGACCAGTCTGGCCAATATGGTGAAACCCTGTCTCTACTAAAAATACAAAAATTAGGTGGCTGTGGTGGCACACACCTGTAATACCAGCTACTCGGGAGGCTGAGGCAGAAGAATCACTTGAACCAGGGAGGCAGTGGTTGCAGTGAGTGGAGATCACACCATTGCACTCTAGCCTGGGCAACAAGAAATGAAATTGTGTAACTTTTCAAGAAGTAAAAACCAGTTAACATTTTAAAGTCACATTACACTCACAATCTTTAAGACATTGTTTTCAGAAAAAATATTTTTGCTGAGTGAAAATATGAAATAGGATTCAAATACCTATTTCCTTGATAAGTTTAAATGACTTTGACTAACAATCTCAATATTTCTTGCTTTGTGGAAAAGTTTTAGTTTCTCTAGGCTCCCATGAGGATTGAACACGATGGTGTTGAAGGGCCTCTAATGATCCCCGCCTTGGGTACATGTAGTCCTCTCCCACACTGCAGGATTCATCTGTGAATACAGTAGAAATGATGTGTGACTTTTCCTAGGTTAGATCACAAAAGGCATTGTGGCTCTCTTTCTCTCTCTCTTTCTCATACACACACACACATCATTCCATCCAGTGGAAGCCAGATGCTGTGTTGTGAGGACAGTCAGGCAGCCCCATGGAGAGGCCCATGTGGCAAGGCATTGAAGACCTGCCAATAGCTACATGGATGACCATCTTGGAAATAGATGCTCCAGCCCTGGATAAACCTTCAGATGACTGCTCATAGCTTGTCTGTAATCCCATCAGAGACCCTGAGCC